TCTTCACCACCACCCCAAACCTCCTCTTCTCAATTAATTTCCCTTAACGCCCCCTAGAAAGGTGCTACCCAAGGATTAACTCCTGTCTAGGCAGGATGGGAATAATAGGGCCCAGGGATGGAAAATCTTTAACGTGTCCTTTCTGGAGGACGCTTTGAGAAAAGTTCTGTCTCTCTCTCTTTTTTTTTTTTTTGAGACAGAGTTTTGCTATTGTTGCCAAGGCTGGCATGCAATGGCACGATCTTAGCTCACTGAGACATTTGCCTCCCAGATTCAAGCGATTCCTCTGCTTTAGCCTCCATAGTAGCTGATATTACAGGCACCCACCATTACGCCCACTAATTTTTTATATTACTAGTAGAGACGGGCTTCCATCATGTTGGCCAGGCTGGTCTCGAACTTCTGACCTCAGAAAGGACAGGAGTTTCTTCAGATTCTGAAGCTGAAAATCCTTTTTTCCTCCATTTCTTCTTGTGAATTCTTCTTGCCTGTTAATGTTCTGGTTTTGAATTACATGTGAACATCAGCCCAAAAAGGAAACAGGTCACCACGTGCACCTAACCGCTGTAATATCTCAAATGCTGACTCTTGGTCTGTCCAGTTGGACCTAACTCTGTCTGCACTACCTACTTGCTGTAGCTTGTGCTGGCGTTCCTGTTCCCAACCAGGCCTGACAAGGGTTCTACCTACTCACACCTCTGGACATTGTTACAGCTTCCCTGAGAACGAGAGTTCCTAGTTCCGAATACGAAAATATCATAACCAGATTAAATGAATAAAGCCCTTTTATACCTGACAAATGAAAGAAATTAGATGTAGATCAAGTAATCCTCTGATTCCCACAGCGACCAGCCACACAAGTGACTAGTAATCTAACTGAAACACAAAACCGTGCCACTCTTATGTATAACCACCGCTAGTGGTTATTATCTGCAGAACTGAATCCAGACTTTGACACATGGTGTAGAAAGCCCTCCACGACCTGACTCCTCCCTACCTCTTCACATTCATCTTCCACCACTTCCTAATTCAATTGTAACACTCCAGCAACTCTGAAATAATAGTAATTTCTTGCACATTGCTGCTGTTTCCTGCTCATGTCCTGGAATGTCTTTCTTATCCTCCTAAACATGTTTCCTTTTTGGGCTAATGTTCATTCATCCTTTAAAACTCAGCTCCAGCATAACATTCTTTGTGAAGCCATTCCCAACACCCTAGGCTGACTTAGGTATCTCCTAAATGTTCTAATATTTCTGTCGCAATGTCACCATATCACAAGGCAATTATCCTTTACGTACACATCTCCACAAGAATATAAGCCTCTTGAGAACAAAGACTATCTTATGGTTTGAATCCCAGTGTCGGAGTCCACTATATAGTAGATACCTAATAATTGTTGAATGGATTTCAATTAAAACAACTGAAATATTTGTAGCAACTAGAGTAGTGATTATGTCAGTATTTAATCCCTAGCCCTGAGAGAACTTTCCAATTCCGATAAATTCTGATTTCACAAACTCCTTTCATATCACTCATGCAGCCCCTAGCTCAGTGTTTTCTTGGTCCACAGCAAGTGCTACACAAATGTCTTTTCAATTGAATTGTAAGGACGGATGTGTTGGAGAGAGAGTTACAGCAGGAAAGCAAGCCACTGATCCTCTTCAAGCCTTATTTTCCTCATCTGTAAAAACAATAATAATACTATCTTCCTTGGAGGATAATCTCAATAATATACAAAAAGCCCTTAACACAGCTTGGAGCATAGCAACCATTTAAAGTAAATGTTAGACTGAATCACGATGTTGAACAGCTAGGAAAGCCCTTCTCTGAAAATCAGAAGTAAAGGCAATTTTGAATAGAACACAACCAACCTATTTGATTTAGCTTCAAAATCTATATGTAATATATCACCTACCTTTCTTCCGAAGATGAGTTCATAACTGACGAATTCTCTGGAGCTAAGTAGGAATAAAAAAGTGACAATATCAATGAAAAAAGCTCAGGTTAAACAAGTTTTATATTAAAATAGGAAGTTGTATAATATTTACCAAATGCCATGCTCTTCAGGCAACTGTCTTCCCTCTATTTTAATGGAAAAAAATTGTTAGAGGAGTAATCCTGGTATCAAAGTTCAGAAATTCTATAAATTATTCTTATGTGTGATTTTGAAAAACAGGGAAAGGGAAACCAGTTGTTCTTACCTCCTGGACATCTGAGCTACCCTCTTCAGGAAGTGTGGGATTCTTCCAAAAGTATGCACACGTTTTCATGAATATTATCTCAAAAATAATTCCTAGGAAAATTATAAAGAAAATTGCCATCCAATCATTTTGAATAATCCAGGACTCTAGAAAGTCCCATAATGTCAAAAATGTATTATCTTCCAGTTCACCTGCTACCCCTTTTTTAAAGGAATAGTATTGCTTTGACATTTTAATGTAATATGTGAAAGAGACTGGTGTCTCATTCAGAAGTCCTTGATTTCAGAGGCCCTGAAATATAGAAAGTTGGTATGCCAAACTCATAACCATGTGTAAATTCAGCCAGTGCTGCCCTAAGGGCAGCAGTGATTGCTCTGGGCCTAAGTTAAGTGAGGTACGTGTCATAGTGGGTGTTTAACTGAGCTCATATCAACTTACTTTAGCAATAATGGAAGTTCATAGGTAAGAAATGTACAGTGGTATGCGTAGTTTTTTACTAAAATTCAAAAAATTATATTCTCTTAACTTCACAGAAAGCAACATAATTCTATCATGGATTGCCACTGTCCTATTATAAATATAAAATAAATTTGAATTGGTGGAAAGGATTTGATATAACCATTTCTATTAACACCAGCAATAGTGTATTTTATGCTTCTTTGTGGTCAGGAAAATATAGTCCTTTCTTGAATGAATATAGATAAGGTTGACATATTTAGCAAATAAAAACATTAGATGCCCAATTTAATTTGAATTTCGGAGAAATGTCAAATAATTTTTTTTTAGTCTAAGTATGTCCCATTGCGACTATGGAGAATGTATGATGACTTGTCTTTAATGGGCCTGATTTTTTTCTTAAAATAGAACACATTTCATATTTCTTTTTGCTAGCAGGGTCTGTTGGCACCATTTTCCTTCAACAATCTGTTGATATGCTGAAAGCTAACATGTCTTTGGAATAACCTCCTGGTGAATTTCCTTTTCACCCTGTCTACAGTGATTCCAAGGAGCTTCTTGGAAGTGCTTTCTGATGTCAGAATTAAGGGTGGGGCAGAGGCAGATGTCAGTACAGTACTGCTCACTTTCCGTCAAAGTCTAGTGGGTAGGCCTGGAAGCTTGCTGAGCAAATACAATTGTAATCACAAGCAGACAGGATAGTCTGGACTAGTTATGAAAATGTTAACACTACCTTGGATTTAGAGCACTCTTCCTTTGAAGGTGTGATTAGTTAATATTTCCTTTGTAGAGGTAATTCATTAATGCTTCACTTTTTTTGGTTTTGTTTTTAGTACCTCACTTATCCAAAGTAGGTTGCGCAAAGAAGTAGTATTTATTACACGCAAGGAAACTGTTTAGGCCCCTTTTGTCACATCAATGTAAATAAGTGCAACAAAGATTTACAAATTCAGCTGGGTAAAGTGGCTCATGCCTGTAATCCTAGCACTTTAGGAGGCTGAGGTAGGTGGATGGCTTGAGCCCAGGAGTTTGAGACCAATACTAGGCAACATAAGTGGATCCCCGCCTGTACCAAAAATTTAAAAATTAGCCAGGCATGGTGATGTGCATCTCTGGTTAGTCTCAGCTACTCAGGAGGCTGAGATGGGAGGATTGCTTAAGCCTGGGAGGTAAAGGCTGCAGTGAGCCACGATCCCGCCACTGCTCTCCCATTCTGGACAACAGAGCGAGACACTGTCTCAAAAAAAAAAAAAAAAAAAAAAAATCAGCTCTTACTGTTGCTGAACATTAAAACTCATGAGATCAATGACATTCTAAATGTTAGAATTTATAGTGTTCCAGTCTCCTAGATCACATGTACAGGTATTTATAATCTTTATTTAAGGATAACTCTTATCTTGAATTTTGTCTTTGCAAAGAATGGCCCTTTAGAATTCCTCTGGATTTTTCTAGCACTATGGTAAAGTATACCTTTCCTGTACTCCCCTCCCCACAAAGACAGTTGAGGTAATTTTAGTCTCCTGGGTTTCTCTATAAAATTTAAGCAGCTGGAAAAATACTCAGCTACTCTCACCTACTTGCAGAAATTCTCTAAATCATTTCATCATAACTATCTTAAAAGGGATTCACTGTTTCAACACTTTCTTCTCTCTAGTTCCTTAGATCTTTCCAAGCTTTATGGCACTGAATCCCTAATTAGTATTCCACCCAAGGGTTCTTAAAGAACTGCGAAGGAAGTGCTGCATACCACTCCTGTTGATGCTTAGGTTTACACAGAGGTAAGCATTATCCCTCTCCAGGGCTTTGTCATGTTTGTTACTCATGTACTTGCTACTAACAAAAGTATAATGATCTATTTTTCAGCATAAATGCTTCTGTGCCTTGGACTAGAAACCTCTTAGACCAATGTCAAGTGAATGGCATCAGAAGTAAATACAAAGCAAGATTCACTTGCTTAGAGAGTAAAAAGAAAAAAATATCTTAGAAAGCCCATTACAAACCGTAATACAAAATAGACGCTACAAGAAAACACAAGAAAAATTCTATTAACGTTTTTTTTTTTAAAACATCCTATTATATTTATCAGTGTTACCATCTTTGAAGTATTTGGACATTATGAACTTCATTTTTGTTTTTTACTTAATAGGAAAAAGTCCCAATATTAGATATATAAAATAGTAACATGAAGCCAGAGATTGTTCAAAACTGTTAGAAACTCTTAGTTTAATACATTTATTGAATAATAAATGTGTAAAGCACTGAACGAGGAACCAAAACATGCTTTAACACGTTTTGTTAAGATGAGGAAAACAGTCCCAAGCTTGAAAGAATTTGTAATGTGAGGTGGAGGTATGAATGACTTAATGAGAAGGCAGAGTGCGGTTAACAAAGAAATGAGGAAGGTATCACAGGAGTTTGAGGAGAGATACCTGGTTTGGGGTAATTTCAAGGAAAGCTGTAAAAAGTGGGGACGATTTTAAAATGAGTAGGACTTGGAAACAGGCAAAGATGAACAAAGAAAGTAGGAAGGAGAGTCAGAAATACTTCTTCCATTTGACAAACGTTGACATAGTCCATGTTAGTTATAGCACTGTTTACAGGTTTGAAATATGGGAAAAGAAGGCTGAAATGTTGATAGAGCCCAACTGGGAAGCTACCTTCAGAGACCTAACAGTTTTTAAGTTGGAAGTATCAACTGGTGTATCAAAGGAAGGAGACAAGAAAATAGGAAAATCGGGCCGGGCGCGGTGGCTCAAGCCTGTAATCCCAGCACTTTGGGAGGCCGAGGCGGGTGGATCACGAGGTCAAGAGATTGAGACCATCCTGGTCAACATGGTGAAACCCCGTCTCTACTAAAAATACAAAAAAAATCAGCTGGGCATGGTGGCGTGTGCCTGTAATCCCAGCTACTCAGGAGGCTGAGGCAGGAGAATTGCCTGAACCCAGGAGGCGGAGGTTGCGGTGAGCCGAGATCGCGCCATTGCACTCCAGCCTGGGTAACGAGAGCGAGACTCCGTCTCAAAAAAAAAAAAAAAAAAAGAAAAAGAAAATAGGAAAATCAATTAGGCTACTGCAGTGATAGATGAGAATTGATAAGGGTCTGAATTAGAGTGATGGTGGTGTGAAAAGGAGAGTTAGAGACTGACACCCAGGATTTGGCAACTGAAAGAAAGCAAATGGCTGCGTGTGGTGGCTCACGCCTGTAATCCCAGCTGAGATGGGTTGCTTCAGTCCTGGAGTTCGAGACCAGCCCGGGCAACAAAGCAGGACCCCATTAAAATATTTGAGACCTTGCCGCTACAAAAATTTTAAAAAGCCAGCTGCAGTGGCAGGTGCCTGTAGACACAGCTATTTGAGAGACTGAGGCGGGAGGATCCCTTGAGGCCAGAAGTTCAAGGTTGCAATGGGGTATGATAACGCCATTGCATTCCAGACTGGATGACAGAGTGAAACCCTGTCTCAAAAAAATAAAACTAGGCTGGGTGCGGTGGCTCTCCCCTATAATCCCAGCACTTTGGGAGGCGGAGGTAGGCGGATCACTTGAGGTCAGGAATTCAAGACCAACATGGCTAAACCCTGTCTCTATTAAAAATACAAAAATTAGCCCGGCGTGGTGGCACATGCCTATAATTCCGGCTACTCAGGAGGCTGGGGAATAAGAATCGCTTGAACCCACGAGGCAGAGGTTGTAGTGAGCTTAGATCGCACCACTGCACTCCAGTCTCAAAAACAAATAAAACAACAACAACAACAAAAACCTAAAATAATAAAAGAAAGCAAATAGATCAAGGAGGGGGATGGAAGAGTTAATGGTGAGAGAGAAAGGACTTACAGATAATCCCAAATCTGGTCTGTCCCAACATGGGCACTATTGACATTTTGGACAGGATACTTCTTTATGTGGCTGCAGTCCTGTGTATTGTAGGATGCTTAGCAACATCCCTACCTTCTACCTACAGAATGCTAATGGCACCCCAACCCTGGTCATGACAATCAAAAATATTTCTAGACATTGCTAATGTCCCCAGTCCCCTGGCTGCAGACCAGGACTGGTCCGTGGCCCACCAGGAACCAAGAGGGGGCGAGCAAGCATTACTGCCTGAGCTCCACCTGCTGTCAGATCAGCCGTGGTATAAGGTTCTCACAGGAGCAGGGAATGTTATTGTGAACTGTGCACATGGGGGATCTATAGATTGCAGGCTTCTTATGAGAATCTAGTGACTGATGATCTGGGGTGGCACAGTTTCAACTGGAAAACCACCCCACCCCTGCCACCCCCACCCCAGTCTGGTTGAAAAATTGTCTTCCACGAAATGGGTCCCTGATGCCAAAACAGTTGGGGACCACTGCCCTAAGGGGTAAAGGTCCCCCACCAGGTGGGAAACATTAGTCTAGGTGAGTGGTTATGAGGCAGGAGAATAGGGTCTGGAGGCAGGAAACCAAGACCAATTCACCCTGACTTCCTACAACTAAATTAATAGGAAAATCCCAACTTTCCATGCCTAAGTAACAAAAGAACCAGAAGCTACTCCCTTTGCAAATCCCCACTTTTCTGTGCAGCAGATGGAAAACTGAAAGTACCTCTGATTGGTTGCATAGGAGTGTAACTTTGTAACTTCACTTCAGTCTCTGACCAGCTGCTTTCCCAACTAATCATACTGATTGTGGGCCACCATTTATACAGGGTGAACACCAAGTAGCCAATGGGGAACCTCTAGGAGGTGTTTGGACCCCAGAAGATTCCTTATCCAGGGCTCTTGAGCCACTGCTCGGGCCGCTCCCACATTGTAGAATGTACTATCATTTTCAATAAATCTCTGCTTTCATTGCTTCATTCTTTCCTCACTTTGCTGTGCATTTTGTGCAATTCTTTATTCAAAACATCAAGAACCTGGACAAATTGCAGTCAAGACCCTCTACCGGTAACAGTTATACCATTAATCAGGGCCTATAAGAAGAGGGCCAGAATGGCTTTTACTATAATCTCAAACTTGAAGGGGCTGAACATTTTCCTGCAAGAAGTGGCATATCTATGCAGGAGAGCAGATGTAACCTTTTTTAAAAAAATGTTTCAGATTTAGATATATCATTTGTATCTTTCTCCAGGAGTTATATGCTCCCCAAATATGGCTAGCTATAGTCTTCAAATGTCAAGCCATTACATCAATAAGGAACACTAGTTTCTTATAGACAACTCAGGGGAAAGATCAACTTTAAATGATCATCTATCTACATTACTTCTGTATTTAATATAGTATCTTTGGTTATCATATTATGCCTACAGTTTAACTTTGCAAACTCAAATATTATACATTGTATAGCCTGGTTAGTAGGCTTTTAAATGTTGTGTTGTACTTTAACATTATGGTCTGCTTTGTAGTAAGTTGTCCTTTGTGTTTTCCTTTTCCTTTTTATTTCTGGTTAACAATACTAATGTTCCCCAATGACTTATAGTTGTTAATAGACCAGTGATTCTATCTTCTTGATAGCTTTGGATATTTTTTATGTTTATAATCTTTTGATACTAGTAGTGTTTTAAGATTTCAAATGTTAAGTATTGTTACTTAAGGTTGTAACTTAGTTACACAAGGTTCTTAAAAATTTAGGTTCAGGAAATGACTTAGTCAAAAAGTAACTTATACAGAGTAACAGGAATTTTAAATTCAGTTATACTTCATTCTATAATATGAAAGATTTGGACGTTACCTAGGTTTTCATTCATTATTTAGAAAAATAATATTTTAAATCATCTGATTCCACCTGGGCAGGAGGAATGAGGGGCCTCAAAAATCTGCAAGCCGCCCAGGCCGCTTGAGGCTGTTTCAATGACCTAACATTAAGAACAGTAGGAGGATATGCAAAAGATTTACTATAAAAAACCATTTATTACTACAAACTTTTATTTAACATCAGCCTCATTACCTTTTGTGAACACTACAGGAAATACAGAAACTTTTTATATATAACTCAATACCATTCAAGCTTGAGATGAGGAGATAGCTGAACTTCCCAATGCAACAGTAAGTGCCCCTAATTGCCTAGATATAGCAAAGATGTTATTACCAAAATTTAGCAATTATTTCTCT